GTCGATTCTTTCGTATTTGAAGCAATTTGGAAATCGAAGCGGAATAGAATTTATCATTAGTAAATAATATAAAATAAATATTGAAAATTGTAACGAGATAATTATGGGTAATAGATATATTATATCTAAATAAATAGATGTTATATGTTTTTATCAAAGCAAGAATTGGCATTTAGAGGGCGTATAGAATATATTGGGTCTAATAACAGAGGAATTATAATGAACTTGTTTATTAAGTACGTCAGATAAATAATCTATTAAAAATACATTTAAAGAAAGAATTAACTGATTGCCCCTGGATGTCGGCTTCTTATAGAAACACAGCTTCCCTATCATCAAATGTCAGGGCACGCCCCTGCGTAACTCCAAAGTATAACGTTGGAAATTTCTTGCTGACTGAGTTTAGGCTTAGGGCTAGTACACATTAGGCGTTGGGTTAAACGCGCGTTAGCAGCGTACACACCGCGCGTTTAGCTTGGCGTTTGATGACCGTTCGCACTGGCTTAGTTTGGAAATGAACGTGAAAGTAATTTCTTTTGTGTGGCTTCTCTATCGTCGCTATAAAAGACGATCGCAGAGGCAAAGAGAATTTTGGATGCACCCAATATTATGAGATAGACTGACACATGGAATGTTTGTGACGTTGTATCCAAAACAAAGACAATATGAACCCAAGTTTTTTAATTCTTTTAGAGTGTCTATAAAATCATTTGACGATGGCTGGTCTTTTTTAGATTTCATCAATAAATAGATCAGTATCGAAATGATCGTTCTCCATTTCGGCAAACTCGCGTCCACTCTACCGGAAAGCGCGCGACTAAGGCTGTGTACAAATTAGGCGTTTTGAAGCGCGCGCTTTGGTAATGCGCGTTTTAAAGAACCAAGAGTTCCGCATAGATATACACACTGAAACGCGCGCTACTGGCCAAGCACGCGTCAAACACGCGTTGATAGATTTTGGTTAGAACGCGCGTTTCGCGGGCGTCAGCCGCGCGCTAGTCATTTTTTTTTTCTAACTAATTCGTTTTAGGACCAAATGTCCTCAGAAATATCCAAAATTTACAACTTTTCGGTCACTCTCGTTGAACTGGAAAAATTTCTGTCTTTATTATCTAATATTACGAAGAAATCAGTCTCCACTGTACTGGGCTTGAAATGGTTCGGTTAAGCTTTTGTTTAAGTAGAATTTCGGTTCATTCATCGGGGTTTCGTTTATGTCCCCAATTCCCTAATCGCTTAATTATTTAACTACTTCTTAAGTAGAAATAAGTGGAAACCGGTTACTTTATACTCGAATATTTGTAGTTTCGGGAAAAAAGTGGAAAGACAAATTTTTATGACAAACGGATACATAAATCGTAAATGTACGGAAAATAAATTCTAGAGCTTTTTCTGTATCTGGTGCATCTCTCTCATTCATTAAATTTACTTGTAAATGACGCTGTCAAAGTAACAAATAATTTTTAACATTATACAAGAATTGTACACGTTTTTTTCTACATCCGCTTAGAGATGGGATATACGAAATCGTAATATCACTGGTTTAACATTGAAATCCGTGAGTAATATAAATTCGAAGAGAGGAATAAAAACATCAAATACTTTAATGGATTTTTTAAAACCCCTATCAACTATACAGAACTAACATTGCAATTTGTTGGAGGTTTGGACATGCGAAGTTTTCTGTGTTTTCTTGATGTGTCCAACATCCTAAATAGGAACCAGTTTTCATTAGAAAGTCTTGCCGGGAAACATTCTCCCTTTCTTACAATGTTTACGTGTTACGTTGCCTTATGGTCGATTCAAGGCAATCCAATGAAAAAAATTATAACTGTTTAAATGTGTCTTATAATAGTCTGACAGTTGTTTCACTTTATAATAAAAACGAAATTATTTTTCTACGCCTAGAAACTGTAAACTACACAACATTGGTTCCGTTTTTATTGCTGAAAAATCTATACCAATATATTGTATAATTGAGTGCTATATACTAAATGTATATAGCACCCAATTAGTTAGTTAACAATTTTTAATTAAACCCAAAAGTATAGGCAGTCTTTAAATTTCGGATTAATGCATGCGAAAAAATGTGTTTGATAGTCGACCAAAAAATTACCTGTAATAAATGGACTTCATTGCTTGAGAGCTAGAAATAAAAGCTATAAAATCTTTTATTAACATAGAAAATTTTCCAATTTGTATTCAATAAAATATTAGAATAAATTTTTGTTACGAAATCTTTTTCTTTGAAAGTATACAAATGGCAAATTTCGTACACGAAAAATCATTTAGGAATATGAAAACGAAACGTTCAGTTGTCCGAATGTCGAGGATCAAAAAATTTAAAAATGCTGTTTAATTTAATTAATAATTAGAAATTTAAGAAAGTTAATGTACTTTGATTATATTTTGACGTTTTCATTTAGACAAATCAATGGCGGAAGCAGTTACCATGTCAGCTTAATATTCTATGGGGGATCCGGACCGAATCTGGGCGAGCAAGCCAGGAATTTTTCATGGGCCATCTGTCCCTATCTATCATCACCAGTAGGTTCCATTGTAGGCTATGGAAACACACGAAGGCTATGGAAGAAGGCTTTCTTATGCGTAAAGTCCTCACTATATCACTTAGAATTTTTAAGTAAGTTTCGACTTTTTATCGATAATTTTATGAGTAAATTACTATGACATATATTAATTTTCTTAATGCTATATGAAATTATCTCCATTATTTTTGTAAAGTAACGTTTTAAATCTACACACTATATGTAAAATAAGGGCAGATGAAATCTAATAAATTATAAAAGAAATTTCTAATTTATCTAATATAACTTTTATTATTTTCTTTTCAGTAAAACCCAAGTAATAGGATAGGANATGGCGTAGCGAACATAACTGCACCCGGGCCGCGACACTATATTGGCACCCCCTCCCCCTCCAGAAACAAATTTTGTTATTCTTGGAAACCATTAATATAGCAGCCTAATAAACGGTCCGACCCGACGCGTCGGGGATGCTTCTTGCCACCCGGTAGACCCGTCGCGTGGCCGCACAAACCCGGAGTTGGCACAATTAAAAAAGTTCTCTCCATGCCCTATGGTAGATAGTTAAAAAATAATAAATTATAAAAGAAATTTCTAATTTATCTAATATAACTTTTATTATTTTCTTTTCAGTAAAACCCAAGTAATAGGATAGGAATTCCTGACACAGATTTATATATAATCTTATTGAAAGAGAAAGTAATGCAATATATAGGTAAATGTAATTTTACTTACCAGCTGTTTCTCAATGAAAACCTAACCAACAGATTTCTACTATTCAAGTTTATTCGAGAAAATGATAAAATGAGATAGATATCAACATACGTCATTTTACTAGATATTTCCGATTTAATCCAATTACAAATTGTGAGATACGAAGCGATTATTTCAGATAATAATTTAAATTTTACTTCTTATCATTGTTTTCATACATTATTTTAAATGAAATATATACAATGCTTCTTTTTATATTTTTACCGTTTCCACCATGTAGTATATTAACTAAGTGAGTTTTTCTAATCATACCCATTACAGTTTTACCCTGACGTACAGTACAACAGAGGCAGCCGGGTGGTAAGGAATGGGCCAGCATATCTACATATCAAAGAAACCTTTAAATGAAACGATCTTTGTGTGACCTGGAGTACTTTTATATAGTAGTGTAAAGTATCGCATAGTGCAGTAAAATACTGCAGTTATATCTGTGAATAAAAACAAATTTTTATGATAGGTGAGTCAATGCTTCTGATAAACAAAAATCCAGCAACAAGTTGCTTAACTTTCTCGGCAATATTTAAATCTGCGTGTGTGACGCCATCTATTACGATGTTTTACTATTAAAAATTTATATATTTTTAATTATTATAAAATGGCAAAAAGCTTAATTTTTAGGGTAGGGATGAATTTTATAAAAAAAAAAAAAATTGCAAATGCTAATAACGTGTAAAATCGTCATTACGTCTGACCCTATTGGAAATACACACAAACCACTTTATCTTCTCACCCCGCGATCTTTAACCAACAAAATTTAATATCCACAATCCGCTAATAAACAAACCTTTCTGCAAAATTTCAGAAATTTTTGACAAAGGGCGCAAGAATTATTAAGCAAGAGCTAATCGTTCATTTTTATGGTAATTTTTGAATTCAGCAGATGGAAATACATACGAATACAATAATTTTGAGCCCGAAATTTTCATTGTTGTGCAGCGTAATCATTAAAGATTTTGTGAATTAATCTCGTTTACTGGTCTGATAAGTCCGTATGTATACATATCTATTTTATCTAAACCAGTGTTTTTCAACCTGTGGGTCGCGACCCCCAGTATCCAAAACAAAGACAATATGAACCCAAGTTTTTTAATTCTTTTAGAGTATCTATAAAATCATTTGACGATGGCTGGTCTTTTTTAGATTTCATCAATAAATAGATCAGTATCGAAATGATCGTTCTCCATTTCAGCNCAATAATTTTGAGCCCGAAATTTTCATTGTTGTGCAGCGTAATCATTAAAGATTTTGTGAATTAATCTCGTTTACTGGTCTGATAAGTCCGTATGTATACATATCTATTTTATCTAAACCAGTGTTTTTCAACCTGTGGGTCGCGACCCCCAGGAGGATCGCAAAGCCTTACTCGGGGGATCGCAGGTAAAAGAAAAAGAAAAGTGCTTGTAGGTACTACACTACAATACAAAAAAAACTACAATTTCAGTTAGAAGGCTGTACCTGTTTATTATACAGTATAATTGGTTTTTCGATCGATATTTAGGTCTCAACAGAAAGAAAATTAAATACAGTACGTAGTTATTAAAATCACTAATATACAGTAGTTTTAGGCTGCGTGCACACTAGGCGTTTTTAATTAAACGCGCGTTTGACGAACCAAGAGTTCTGCATAGGCATAGACACTCAAACGCGCGCTTTTGGCCAAGCGCGCGTTTATAGATTTTTCTTAAAACGCGCGTTTTGCGGGCGTCAGCCGAGCGCTTTGAGATATATGGGCTGCCATGTTACTGTACATTCGATCGCGCGATTTCCGGTAGAGTGGACGTACGTTGGCCGAAATAGAGAACGATCATTTCGATACTGATCTATTTATTGATGAAACCTGAAAGAGACCAACCATTGTTAAAGGATTTTATAGATACAGTATTTTAAAAGAATTAAAAAACTTGGGTTTATTTTGTCTTAGTTTTGGATACAACGTCGCAAACATTCCATGTGTCAGTCTATCTCGTAATATTGGGTGCACCCAAAATTCTCTTTGCCTCTGCCATCGTCTTTTATAGCGACGATGGAGGAGGGGCACACAAGCAATTACTTTCACGTCCATTTCCAAACTGAGCCAGTGCGAACGGTCATCGAACGCCGAGCTAACGCCTGATGTGTACGCTGCTAACGCGCGTTTAACGCAACGCAAAACGCCTAGTGTGTACACAGCCTTAATATGGCCCTGGGGGGGTCGCCAGAAGTTTTTAACTTGTAAAGGGGTCGCGTATTCAAGAAGGTTAAAACACTGATCTAGACTAACTTGTAAGACAAGATTGCTTAGCACTTACACCGATCTAATAAATAATTGATACCGTACAGTACATTCCCTCTAGATTGCAGGTCTGTTCGATTGCTTAGGAAAGTGCATATTTTAACGTAAATTTGTCGTCATTCTTTACAATTTTTTATTGTAAACTTGAGGTACTGACTTCATGCTGTAGTAATAATGTGCACAATTTCAACCAATCGAACAGACCCTGCGACGCAAAAAAACTTCCGTCACGACAATTTCGTTATTACTTTGGCAGTATGTTTGCTAACAATACGTGATATGGAGTGTTTGTTGCCACATTAGAAAAATAGCTTTCTTTAAATTTTTATGGTTGGAGCAAACTACTTCTGTTGCTCCTCGTACTTATGCCACTCTAAGTACTAATACTATGTAGCTTACTTTAATTTTAACATCCTTATAGTTGGTTGGAGACATTTTTGTATCGTTGTAACACGGATTCTAGAAACAATATTGAAATGAAAGAGGATATTGATAGATAAAGCATATATAAAACGACAGTTACACTTTGCAACTGGTATATCATGTACTGTACTCGTAACTAATTTCAGAAATTAAGGAAACTTTCCAAATAATATTTGCCCTTCGAGGCGTGTCAGTAAATTTTCGGATCGGTTTTTAGACTGGTATTATACTATAGTCTATACTGTTATCTAACACCTTGAAGGTAGTACTTCAGACTGTTGCATTAATTTCTACGAAATAGATTAGATAATATCTGTTTCGTGGAAATTAGATTAGATAATATCTTAACTTATTTTCTTACACAAAATATAGCTATGTTTAATTAAACATTCAAATCACTAAAAATTAGAATATTTAATTATATTGAATAGAATTATTATTTTAGTTTAGTAAATGTTCAGAATAACATCAAAAATCATTTTAAAATTCATAAATAAATATGCTAACTGAGTACACCGTTTTCACACCACTTTTACAGCCAAGAAATATCATTTTTAAATCACATTAAGTGGTATAAAAGTGGTAATTCTCTTATACCAAGTTACCAGAATACAGTACTGTACTTTGGTATGGAAGAATTCTCAGCATTTCACTAACATTTTTATTCTATTATATATAACTTTATATAGAAAACAACAAAAAGATTCATTAAAACTAATATTAAAACTAAAAATAATTAAATCTTAAAATAAAAAAAATAATAAATTAAACACTGGTCTTATTTAAACGCTTACCGAAACTGAAACCGAAACCGAAACCGAAACTAAAATTAAAATCAAATGACTTGAAAATTAAAACAATGTTTTTAATTAAAAACCGTTTAAAACTTGTCTTGAAATGTTTAAATTGTAAACCAAATTAATTTTTAAATTTACGTTATTTGTATGCAGCGATGAGGAACATTTTGCTTTTAATTTACTGTATATACAGATTGTGGAAAATGGTCGTAAAGCGAGACGTTTTTAGGAACGTAATCTTAATTTTTAGCATTGAAATTATGGAAATCCACGGCTCGCTTTACGACCGTTTTCCACAATCATTATCATACTATCTTGTAATGGTACAAACAAACCTCTAACCATTCAAAAATTAATTTTTCTACTTTAAAATGATCAAAACACTTCTAAATCATTGCTAAAAATATAAAATTATCTACCCGATAATTTATCTTCAAATCCTTCCCGCTCTCGTATGATACAAACAATACTTATCACAACATATCGGTCACTATCAGAAATTTCGTCGTTTATAGCTACACCCTCCATGGAAAGAATGTGAAGAATATTGCACACGTCGCCTCTTCCATTAATTACAAGAAGAAACGTTTTCGGTATTCAGGTGAGTAACGTGTAATTTAAAAGACTAATCAGTGATGGGTGACTCTTACCTATAAATTAATATAAACATTTCATGATAAAATGCCACGAAACATTTACTTCGGTTCAAAATCTGTATTGTAGTTAAGTCTTCTATAAATTATGTAAGAATACCCAGCTAAATGTATAAGTCTGTGTCTAGAACTAACTAAAACAAAACCGACAAAACGAGAGGTGGGTTGACGTCATAATACTGACACACTAGTCTTCTCGTGTACAGTGTTACTATATTACTTTACTTTCACAGCTGTTAGAACATAACATGGGAAAGTACTGTAATCGTGTCAAATTTGACCCTCCGGGAATTTTCAGATATCGACGGTTTGAGATCTCCGGAACCCAAAAAAGTAAAAAAAGAAAGAGAAATAAAAAAAATTCCATGCGTAATAAACAACATAGTCTAGAGGATGTGTTTTTAAAATATTACTTTTGTGCATAAAATATTACCTTTCCCGCTTAAGAATTTATAAGCATAATTATTACAATTCTATTTAGACAAAATTAAATAATTTATTATAATATTATCTAATGTTATTTATGTTATCATTTAGGTAAATTGTAATCTTCCGAGTAAATTTTAAAGGCGAGCAACAACATAAAAAATTACTAAATTTTTTATTAACTTCTGCAGTTAAGAAGCGTGATTTATTATCATGAGCAAGGCGAAAGACGAAATCCTGAAACACTACATAAAATGCGCCGATGATAAATTTCTTTGTATACATTGTCATAAGAAATATGCTGGCGATACATCAAATTTGAAAAATCATTTAAAGAGGCTACACCCCATAGAATTCGATTTAAACAAAGACGACGGTGACGACCCAGATTTTTATTACGATGCGAAAAAGGTTAAAGTTGAAAAGGACGATGAATCCAAAAAACTATATCGACCGTTTATGAACAGAACAGTGGGATTACCGGATTTTTATTACGATGGAACAAAAGTCAAAGTTGAAAAGGACGATGAATCCAAAAAACTATATCGACCGTTTATGAACAGAACGGTGGAATTACCGGATTTTTATTACGATGTAACAAAGGTCAAAGTTGAAAAGGACGATGAATCCAAAAAACTACATAGACCAGTAGTGAACAGAATTAGTGTGGAATTACCAACAAATTCTCTTTCTCAATTTCAAGTGACCAACTTGAGTAGGAAGAAACACCTGGATTACAAGTTGCTTCGTATGCTTGTCACCGATTTCGAACCTTTCGAATTCGTGGAACGAAACGGTTTCTTGGATATTATAAAAGAAATGTACAAAGGCGAAGAAATCCCAAAGGCTAGTGATATGGAAAGACAATTTTCTGCCTTATACGATTCTTTAAAACAGAAACTGTACGCGAAATTATTGGGAGTAGAATTCGTTTCCATTTCTGTAGATACATGGTTATTATCTAACCGGGACAAGTACTTAACGTGCAGCTGCCATTTTATATTAGACGACGAGCCACGATCTGCTGTTTTAGAAACCCGACCCATTGATGATGATTCGGTTCAACAAATTAGTGAGGTGAGATCAATTTCATATTTTACACTTCTGTTAATTATCGGATAATGCTCATTAAAAAATTTTTCATTCTTATTTTAAATATGAAATCAGGATAATAACTAGACCGGATAGAGTAGTGTTTTTCAGCCTTTTTCTAATAGTGGAATCCACAAATTGATCATTTTTTTTTCTTTCGGCATCCTTAATTCTTTATCAATATAGTTATTGTGCTTTCGTACTTTTATGAATATACGTTAGAAGTGTTTCGGCGCTGCTCAGCACTATTTCGCGGCACCCCTGAAGTGTCGTCGTAGCAATCCTAGGTGTGCCGCGGCACCACAGTTGAAAATCAGTGGTGAAAAGTATTAACAATGTGATTTTGGATTGATAACATTATAAAAAATTATCATTCTGTTTGAAAAACAATGAAATTTTCTAGAAGTTGTATACCTATCAATATATTCCAAGAAATACTGCAATGTTCTGCTCAGCCCAAAAGTTAGTTAACCATTTTAAATACTAAATTATAAAAAGTCTGCAAATAAAACTTGTTGAAAATAAGATCTATCTTGCCGACTTTCTTGCAAAAATAGATTATCCTATATATTTGGAAAAAAGGATCGGAAAACTTCGGAAATTTTCTGGGTCTGGGTTCAATTCCAAGCCTCTAGAGAGACACATTAATACCCTCACGGCTTGGTTATCCGGCTGCTTATAACAGAAATTCAAAATGGCGGACTGTAGGTCTCTGTTGTGTATTTTAGCCGTTGATTTGCTATTTTATTCAATGGTGTCAAGTGTTACGTTGACATCATAAAGATATAATAGTTATTTTAAGTATACACAATAGCACACGTTCACAAAAATTCTTTCATACTCTATTACAGCATATAATTTGCAATTTATTATGTAAAAGACAGTCGCAGTTTACTGTTTCGTCCAATACATATTTGTGTCCGAGAACCTGAAGCCAACAGAGGCCCGGTGAGATATCCTACGTTGACAAGGCATGAAACTACCACTGATAAAAGATAAATTAATGAAGGAATATTTGTAGTAAATAAATTAAAAAATACCAATAGATTTAATTGAAGCACTCTTTTTCATTTATTGCTCACCAAAAGCCGAGTGGATTAAACCACTAAACAGTGTTAGATGGTCGTACATTCGCGCTTCACTAAGGGTTGGCTACATGGAGTTTTCAGGGTCTGATATCTAAATAAGAGCCAGTTTTTCAGAGAGGCGCCCTTTAGCGAGACCATCCACGTGTTGCATTGTCTTATACCATAAATTGTAATTCATCTAGCTTATTAATAAAAAATTCATCATTAATTTAAAAAATTGATTCCGATTTCATATTATGAAAATTTTCATTAAATTTACTTTGCTTGAATTTTCTTAAATTTTTATAAATTTTCACTTTCAGATATTGAACCACATCTTTATTAACTGGGGTATTTCAAAAGACAAAATTGTTTGCATCGTGAGTGATAATGGCAACATCTCCGAAGCAATGACTAAGTTAGATATTCGTCATCTGCCGAGTTTTTCACACAATTTAGCACTCGTTGCTAACGATTGTCTGAAATTTCGAGTCGTCACCCAATTGACAAAGAGGATTAATGATCTTGTAACGTTCTTCCAAACCTGCAAGATTAAATATCTTACGAAAGAAATTGAAACAATTAAAACAAACTTCGACTCGATAAAATTAGCATCATCACCCTGGATCAACGATTATCATAAGATGAATTGCATCTTCAAAAACAATGAAATATTAATTGAACTCTGTGGTTTTATATCAAATGCACCATCTTCGTTCTCATCTGAGGAATTGGAAAAGCTGCAAGATTGCATTTCTTGCATGGATCCTATATATAAAGCGTACAAAGAAATCTGCCGCGATAACTATGCAACGCAATCATCGATAATTCCAATTTTGTATATTATCAATCAAGAGTTCAATAAAATGGAAGTGCAGAAGATGAAGTCATCCGATGGTACCGATCTTCTAAAAAAAATGAGAATATCTTTGAAAAAAAGGCTAAACATATATGAAACGATTCCAATTACCATAAAGAGCACGTTACTCGATCCAAGATGGAAAAAGTCCTTTTTCAGACAGCAAATTACTGATGAAAAAGCCGAAAAATTAATTTATGATGAAAATCCTTCTGTAATTTCCTATCCGAATGATCATCACTATTCAATCCATAGTGATGATCTTAAAGATCCAACAAATGATGACAGCAACGACGATAGTATATTTAAAAAGTTAGATGAGATGAGTAAAGCATGGGAAACACATACATCAGTTTTGAGAGGCAACACGGATTTTCATCAATACTTACGTGAATCAACCGTTCACAGAAAATGCAATCCGTTGGAGTACTGGAAGGAAAACAAATGTAAATTTTCGGATTTACATAGAAAAGCCTTAAAGAGTTTCACTGTTCCAGCTAATTCAGTATCTTCAGAATGGATCTCATTGGACGAAGGGATGTTTATGGTAAACCAACGCAAGAAGATAAAGCCCAAATACATTGATAAGTATATGTTTCTGCATCGGAATATATGGCTGGAAAACAATTATGATTAATAAGTTTACAGAATTATATAATTCCACAGTTTCGTTTGCATAAACATTTTTATTATTTTTAAATAAATATTTTATCATCATATTATTGTTGTCATTGTTATCGAATTAATTTAAACACATTATTTACAGATAACAGAAATAAATATAGACTCCAAATCTTAGTAAATAGAGTATTTAAATGCTACGGAAAGACATGGATTGAATTTTGCAGGAGCTAAACACCTCTTTTTCTTTGACATAGACAACCGACTTTGATATTCTCTGTGATTTAGACGAAAATTCTGACAATAAACATAAAAATTATTCTGAAATACTGTGTCACCACAAGCGAATAAGTTTCGGACATTACTGCTCATGGACAAAGATAAGTCTGATATGAAAATAGGGTAGCATAGTCACAGCGTTTTTTTTAATTGTTAATGTCATGGACAATTTCTTCGTGCACACATGTTTGTTACCTTTCAAACAACAAATACCGCCATAAAAATAAAGAAATAAAAAGTTTATTTAACGGCAATAAATTAATAAAATATAAAAATTTATATACAGTCAAGACGATTCGATATACAAATTACATTGTTGAAATAATTATCATTCTGGCTTATACTGACTGCAATGTGTTTTAAATTGANCATTGAAGACAATTCGATTTACAAATGTAATCGTTGAAATAATTATAATTCTGGCTTAGACATATAACGATTACAATGTGATTTCTTTTTTTTTATTTAAGTTCAACGTTAAAATATTTTTCTTCTTCTAGTTAATTCCAGTGGCCAATATCTGCTATTTTGCGGTGAAATTTTTTAGCAGTAGAACACCAATTGAAATACAGTATAGACTAAATATCTGTATAAGTCACCTTGGCCAGTTATAATACTTTACACAACAAACGTAACACAGTCTCTAATCTCGAGAAACACTGCCAAATGTTTTCGTTGACACTTTGGCGACGATAGACGTCACACACTGTCACTGTTCTATGAAATTTAACCGAAGTATAAGAACGAATCCTCGAATAATGCTTCTATATAACTGGAGTAACTATCAGTAAATTGGGAAGAGAAAAAAAGACTGAAAGAAAGACTGGCAGAGAAAAGGTTTGTTTCTTCCAGAAGAAACTCATTTTCCACTAAGGCTTTCCACTTTAAGGATTTTTTCATAATTACTTTCGACTTCTTTCGGTCGAGTCCTATCTCACGCGACTGTTTCTCCATCGTTCAATTTCGGAACTTCAGAATATCGCCGTTCCAGATAGTTGGTGACAGACGAGGTGCTTTCATTCGGAGATATCACAACTACCCGTTAGTTTTTGGGTGTATGCGACTTCTGTTCTCCGCTCTCCACATCATTTTTCAGAAGCACCTCTATTACTCGAAGCGAAGTGGAAGCGGAAGATGACTACGAGGTGCTTTCCTTTGGCTTAGCATCGCGAGGTGTGCCACTTCCTTAATTCTTTGAAATTGTCCATTCTGCAAAGAAAAAGGAGCAAGTATTGTGAAAACAGAACTTTGCATTAATTTAAAATATATTCGTATTGTCTTAATTTAATCTAAATTGTAGATAAAAGATATAAAAATTTCTAATACAAAATAATTTTAAAATGCAATAAAGATTTAATAGACATAGAAGATTATAATAATTACAACAATCAATTTCTATAAATCTTTCAAAATCAGAAGTAAACGTTATATTTATAATAAAAAATATAATAATATAATAAAATAATAATAATCATAAAATAATGTAATAAAATCTGTAATTATCTTTTCAACTACTTTTAATGTTCGAAGTATAATTAGAGAAATCAGTTTATACAAACTATACAATTCTTTCGATTGCCATGACAGGAAACAATTGTGAAAATACACTGCTGGCCATCCGAAATGCAACACCAAGAAGGACCAGAGATATCACAGCCAAATTTATTTGGGAGATAACACGTTGTACAAAGATCAAATGATTGAAAATACAGTCTCTTGTGAAGTGAGGAAGATGATGGAATCAGTATGGAGTGTTGCCGCCATTGCTGGCTATAACAGCTGCTACACACCTCGGTATTGAGTCAAAGAGGCTTTGGATATGTTGTTGGGGTATAGCATTCCATGATGCTTCTACATGTTGCCAAAGTTAATCTGATGTAGCAGCGGGTGGTGTATCCCGGGCCAGTCGTTCTGCAATCATCAACCAGACGTTTTCTATAGGCGAGAGATCAGGAGAACAAGGAGGCCAAAGCAGCAATGCAATCTGATGCAAATCTGATGCAATCTGGGCAAAGAAGAAGTCTTGCGCGATGCGTTCCACGTGTGTCGTGCATTATCCTGTTGGAATGTGGCTGTTGGAAAGCTCTGAAGGTATGGAAGGACAACAGGCTCTAACACCTCAGAAATATAGCGCTGGCTGGTCAGTGTACCGACAATGTGTACTAGAGGGGAGTGGAATCCAATACCATCCCAAACCATAATACCGGGTCTAGGACCAGTATGGCGATGCATAAGGAAACAGTTCAGCAGTCTCTCAACACAGTGTCTCCAGACTGTAATCCAACCATCGTGGTGTTGCAGGCAGAAGTGGGATTCGTCAATAGAAACAATGAGGTTCCATTCGGTTGTCCATGTCGGTCATTCATCGCACCATTGCTGACACAAACGCCCGTGGTTTTGACTCAACAGTAAACGCAGCAATGGGCGCCTTGCGGACACTACACTCTGCTGCAAACGACGTCGAATGGTACGCGCAAACACCGATTGTTGCACAACAGACCAAATTTGTTGTGATATGGTTTGTGATGTGGCACAGCGGTCCATCACTGCCATGCGCGCGATATGCCTGTCATCACGTTCAGTGGTGCAACGAGGTGGATGCAATTGGTCCTATCAGTCCGTCGTTCCCTCCTGCATCCAGCAGTTACAGATCCGCATCACAGTTGCTTGGTTATGTCCGACAGGATCACCGATTTCTCTGAAGGATAAGCCATAATCCACATAGGCAACTATTCCTCGGTCAACTCAGAAACATGCTCGAAAGACGCTCGTTTTCTTCTGTATGGCATATTGGAGCTGCTTATGCCAAAAAAATACACGAAAGAACAATTCCAGTACTTCAAAACGGCCTTCTATTCTCCCTTTATATAGCGCTTGCAGGTGCCACCTGTGATATGTGTCTGCACTGAAATGCTAATCATTTGCATATCTCATCGCCGCAAACGCATGGTGCAAATTTTACTTGATTTAGATGCTTCCTTCATGGTGTTGCATTTTGGATGGCCAGCAGTGTAGAAAAAAAATGAAATGAGTGAAATCGAATTATTCCAATTGAAGTTTAGACTAATTATATATAGCGGTGCAAATTTTGTTTCGGATATGATGTGTGTACATGTACAGTACTGTATCGGTACATTACGTAAACTACAGAGGATAACTATGTGTTATATTTATTAAACAAATATTTTTATTTTAACTTTAATTTTGTTATCCGTAAACTTTCCCGTGATAAAAATAAATATCTAATTTAAAAATAAAATGGAAGCCTAGAGTTGAATATCTTCGTCAGACAAAATTATTCCTAAATTTAATAGTCGTATTTTGCTATTCTGTACTGTTATTCCCAACGACATATAACTACCAGACCCCGAACCGGGCCGCCATCTTTGAAGCGAATTGAACGCGCTTCCGCCATGACACTTAAAAGGCATAAAGCTGCGCTCCCGCTGGATATACATAATACAGATATGACCGTTTATTACATAAAAATATACAATTGTCATCACACGATGCTTTTGCTAAACTGTGGCTTTAACTCAAACTGTGTTAGTCCTAAAACACCAGTCCTAACAAACAGTGCTAACACAGAAAACCACAGCTGTGCCCTAGTGCCTACGTCCTAACGTAAAAATCTGTTTTTCTCTGGATTGTCGAAATACCGATACTTTTTTTGATATGTGGAGCAATGCTATTAAAATAACTCTGTTAATTTTAGGGAAATTTCAGGTGTGTTCAGAGGGTTAACACGGTAGAAGGTTGACTACCTCTTCCTCGCAGCTATCACTTAGTGCACAATTCTGGTGAACTTCGCTGTATACGTTCTCGTTTCTCCG